ATTTCATAGTGTGCTCCCTAGAGCTGGTATTTGTTTTAGTGTTTGTATGTGAGGAACCATTGGATTGCCAAGTAAGTTTGTGAGTTACAAGAGCTTTCTGAACTACAGGGCTTCCCCGAGAGCCTCAGTATGTTAATGTGAGTTGTAAATTTCTCAGAGGGGTGCGTGTGGTGTACTGGTTAGCATTTTCAGAATTTATTTGACCCGAGGACCTTTTCCCTGGACCGGGATTCTTAAAAACACACTTTAGAAAATTGTGTATTAAGAGTGTGCTTGCTTTGTTCTATTTATTTTAAATCCCTATGGTAGTGACATCTTTCCACGTTAGTTATAGTTAAAAGGACCAGTTTCCATAGTCCACAGACTTCTACCTATATGGATCTCCTTTCAGCAGGCTCTGCCTTTACCTCCAAAGTGCTTCCACATCTCTTGTCCCATTTTCTTTTTTGACCTATTTTTAAAACTAGGATTCTGTTGCTGACCATAACACGTACCCAAAATCAGTAACATCAGGGATTAGAACCCAGGTCTCCGGCCCATTTCTCTTTCCAGCAGCCTATGCTGCCTCCCAGTGGACAGAGCATTTGCAAAGAGCAGACATCATCATGCTTAATTCTTTTCTAGAAAGGGTTCTCCTGGTGTCTGTGAGCATTTCTCTGGCCTCCCCTTGCTCTTAATTTATAAGGTGACATTGTCTTAACTCTGTAAGCAAGACAGAACACCTCTCCTCCCACCCCCAAAATTAACTGTGTTATTAGCAAACAGTTAAAAGTTCTGGGAGGAGATTCTAAGTTGACTTACCACAGGGAGAATAATCACAGGGGTGGGGGGACCCAAGATGATCAGCAGCAGCCCAGTCTTCTCCCAGGCTGGAGCGAGGGTTTCCTAGGGAGTGCTGAAGTGCACTTGAACTTGTCAATGACTGTCTCCTACTCCATTGCTCACTTGTTCTTTTATTTCTCGGTTTAATTTTGTACAGCTCCAGTGGCAATTTTGGTGATCTGATAATTTGGAAAATAAATGAAAGAGTGGAAGATAAATTTTTATTTTCTTTTTCTCAAAAAAATTACACCCAAGTGAATAATCTTTATGCTCTATTTCTCAGTAATATTTAGATGCTACTCCTGAAGAATGGCAGAGCTGCCAAAATCAGTAGGGTTTTTTTTACCAAGCTCTGCTTCAGTAATCCTATCACTTGCCTGAAGAATTCATTATAACGAAATAAACACATTAGGAACTCCTTGGTCTTTTACATCTCTAATATTTATGAAGTACTGAGGCTCTGAGCCAGCCAATAAGGAAACTGGCAATTCTCAGCAATCAGTTTAATAGGCATTGGTTGATTTGGATTGCAAAATATAGGTGCCCTGATTAGCCCTCTATATGGACTTGCGTTGTTCTTCAGCCATTCAAAAGCTACCTAATTATGAATATTGAAGTATAATGTTCTGGCTTTTAACATAAGGCACTTACCTTTTAATTGGCCATCAGCTTTGTTTTTAGCTCTTACGTACCTCCACTGGGATTCAAATGAAATAGGAAGATAATCAACCAGTAAGCAGAGAAAAGGGTAAAATGATCAGGGATAATTAAGTGGCAGCAGGGAAATTTAGGGTTAGACAACAGGGAGAGGAACAAAAGAAGGAAACGCACAGGAAACCAGCTCCCTTCTCTACCACACTGCCAGGCACACCCCTTTTGAAACCACCTTTAATTCCCTCTTTAGCTTTCAGGTGGGACATATAAAGACTGTGTGGCTGACATCTCTCAGCTTGAGGACAAACTTGATCCCTCCCTGCGCCTAAACTCAGAGCCAAGCAGAGGGTGGGGCATTGGATCCTCACTGCACAAATTTGGCAGGGGAAGAAAGACTGTTAAGTGAAGGCTAATTGGAATCTGCCCCAAACTGCACTCTGTTGGAGCGATTTACAATATCTTTCAGGCGGCTGACTTACTTACTGGGTTATTCAGTTAAGGGGCAGTGAGTGGGGGGATCGGTGGGGAGCGCTGAAGGAGAGGAAATGACCTGTACAAGGCAGTGGATGCTTTCTTACACTTTTGAAAAATTAACTCTTGCACCATCTTAGTCCTTGGTACAAAGCCTAAGTACTCCCCTTGACCACAGGGAGCAGTTTACCTCCTTTGGGTCATGTGTCCTTTTATTTCCTGAGGAAATTTATGGTCTAGCTCCAGAAAATGAGCCTAGATACACACATTTTTTTTCCCATGTAATTTCAGGAAGCTAAGGAACCCCTGAAAGGTCATTCATGGATCTTCTAGTTTTGTCAGGCTAAAAAAATCCTGTTTTTAGATCTAGAAATAGGGCTGGAAGCAATTTTTATAGGTAATTGTGGAGAGCAAAATGGAGAAAGCCTAGGAAAAGTGAGTTTGCCTTTTGAATATTTCTTTAGAGGCCAGGCGCCATGGCTCATGCTGGTAATCCCAGCACTTTGGGAGGCCGAGATGTGAGGATCACTTGAGCCTAGGAGTTTGAGACCAGCTTGGGCACCTGAGACCAGCCTGGGTAACATAGTGAGACCCTGTATCTACAAAAAATTAAAGAATTAGCCAGGCATGATGACATGCATCTGTAGTCCTAGCTACTCAGGAGGTTGAGGCGGGAGGATCACCTGAGCCCAGGAGGTCAAGGCTACAGTGAACCATGATCTGACCTGGGCAACAGAGTAAGATCCTGTCTCAAATGTAAAAATATATAATATTTTAATTTTTATGTATAAAATAAAAAAACAGCAAATTTTCACAGAAAACCATGAACTTCTTTTAAAAAATTTGCATTAAGTTACTTTAAAAACAATCATTTATATTTAAAGATCCCAAATAGCACATCTGTTTTACTTATTAAAGCAGATTTCATAAGGCATTATTTTGGGGCTATATTTTGTTCATATAATTCTAGCTAATTCTAATTTTTACTTGCATCAAAACATCATACAATTATGTATCTTTAAAAATAGCCCTTTTGCAATTTAGCCTTCAGCAAGTTCATATGCGTGCACATGCATTTGTGAGTATGTGGGGGTGTGTGTGATGTTTTTTCTTTTTCTTACCACCTCCCCATCCCCTGACATGAAGTAGGGACTTGTCTATAGCTATATTCTCAGGGCCTAAAACTAGGTCTGATACAGAGTAGGTTGTTGAATACATGATTAATTTTGTAAAACTTCAGGTTTTGAGAGGAAAGTCAAAGAAACATTTTCCCCTATTTTCTTGACAGTCTCCCTTGTCTTTCTGTCTGTATTTGTATTTTGCCTGCCTTTTCTTTTATCCCCAGTGGGGCGAGAATTAGGTTCCCAGAACCTATGATGAACATTGCCCTTGGCTGGTAGGGTGTGAGAAAGCAGCGCAAAGGACTTCCTGGGAGTGCTGTTTGGGATGGGGGCATGGGATCAGGACTGGTTTACTGCAGGTTCTCCTTCAGGGGTTGATTTAGGTTGGTGACTGTGCAATCCTAGCTGGCCTAGTTGCCCATTCCATAAGCCACACAAGGCTGCTGGACTGAAATAATCATGAAATGTGGCCATCCCCTTTGCTGCACAGTCTATCTTTTTGGCCATAATTAAGAATCATTCACATCAAGGGTGCAGATTTAGCCAGTGGAGTTTCTTAACAACTCCTTTGAGAGAAGGATCAATGGACATACCTGAGCAGAAAGGTTTCTGTGGTTCCATAATGTAAGAATTCAGAGTGCACAGAGGACGATTCCTGAGTCTGCCCATAGACTAAGCATTTGGGTAGATTTTTTTTTTCTACCATGTGACCTTCATCTTCCTTAGGGATGAGAAGTTAGGACCAGAGAAAAAGCTCCCATCTTTCATACTAAATCGGTTCTATAAAACCAAGCCACGTTGATTCTTCCTCCCTGTAAATGAACCTTGGTCGCATAGCCTTTGACATGTCAAGTCAGGTGTCAGGTGAGCTAGAGGGTATAGGCTATATTTCCATTTAGGCACCATCTGAGTTTACCCCAGCCTCTCTTCCTCACTGACACTGGCTTTAATCCTCGTATATGCTGAATATACTCTTCTTTCTGTGTGGGCCCAGGAGGCAAGGCTAGGCTGGAAGTGATCACTAGGTAGGAGAAGGCATCCTGCTGGAAGGAGCTGGTGTAAAACAGCGGGTTGCCAGAACTGTGTTCTCAGTGTTGTCTCTGTTGAAGCTGTTCCAAGGAAGCCACATTTCTCTCTGGGCTGCACTATTGTGAGTGCTTAGGGTGCTTCCAGTTTATTTGTGTGAAATGTCAAATCCAGAGAGGGTAGCCTAGAATCTCTGCGCTGAAAGACTGGCAGGAGTTTTGGACCCCAAAGTTCTCGATTGATCTTTTCCTGTCATAATGACTAGATGAGTGAGGTTCCTCTGGTTGTTTCTGAGGCCGTGTGCTCCCTATGCCCTCAGCCTGTGACCAAAGTATAGGTCACTTGGGCTGAGTGCTTCCTTGTTCAGGATGAATTAAGCACTTGATGTGCACATGCTGTTAAGTCCTCTCCCCCAACTCCTTTGAATTCTCTACCCATCATATACTTGGCCACTTTCCTGAGCCAAGCACTTTATTTTCCTCTTGTTCTGTGAGTCCTAATAGATATATTTAGAAACATTTCTATGAAATATGAAATCCAGGCTTAACTGGCTATTTGAAATCACAGCCCACGACCACATGGCTGGTGTGTGCCCACACACACACTGACATACCCTTACTATACATAAGAACAGTTGCCATCTTTTTTCATTTGAGACAGAGTCTCCCTCTGTTACCCAGGCTGGAGTGCAGTGGCATGATCTCGGCTTACTGCAACCTCTGTTTCTTGAGTTCAATAAATTCTCCTGCCTCAGCTTCCCAAGTAGCTGGGACTACAGGTGCATGCCACCACACCCGGCTAATTTTTGTATTGTTAGTAGAGACGGGGTTTCACCATGTTGCCCAGGTTGGTCTTGAACTCCTAACCTCGTGACCCACCTGCCTTGGCATCCCAAAGTGTTGGGATTACAGGCATGAGCCACCATGCCCAGCCAGTTGCCATCTGTTTTATGTGTTTTCCTTCCTTCTCTCTTCTCCAGACAAAGCATGTCTATTATCTCTGGAAGTAAGCCCTGCCTTTTTACACACAAGAGGATCGTGACTCATGCAGTGTATACAGAGAGATAGAGATATCTACCAGCATGTTAATAAAGGGCCTGATAAGGAATCGAAAAATGTCACCCCCAGGTAATTGCGGCAGTCTTCTGTAGCCACTGCTGGAGAGGGGGTGGCATGGGAATGGGGGAGATGGGCACAATCGTGTGCACCATATGTTAGGTGGCAGGAAAGAAGGAGGTTTCTGAATTTTATTTTTTTCTTGTTTAGGAAATTTTTAAAGCATCTTCTGCTTAGAGCCCTGCCAGGGTCTAATTCCCACGCAAGTGGGAACGGTCCATTAGATTTTACCTGTTTACGGCCAAGCAGTGATCTCACTGCCAAAGTCACGCTTACCGATGCCCTCCTTTGACTGTGTTTCTCTGCTTTTTCCTTGTGCCTTGCATCTCCTTTCTGTGCTTGCCTTTGTCTCTATGTGTCTCTGTGCCTTTATGGCTTTAGCATCTCAGTGCCTGGATGGATATTCCCCACCTCTCTGTGCTTCTTGGTTCCTGCAGAGCCTGCCTTGTGCCTTTCATTACCACGTTAACAAACTTGAGTCGTGCCTAACGACGTCGCCTCATACGTTATGCTAATGATCAAGAGACATGTTAATGATATTTTAGAAGCCTAATTAGTGGAATATATAACTATATGCAATTTGGTAATGGACTGTGACAACAAGTTGTTAAAAGGGGGCTTGACAAATCCAGTTGCATGTGGCCTCAGACAAACAGGAGCTGAGAATGAATGAGTGGAAATCAGACAGGGAGATAGAAGGAGGTGGGTGTTGGGGGTGTGAATGCTTGTGCATACGCTTCTGTGAGGGTCAGTCTTTCTTATGGATAACACTGCTGTCTTATCATTCCACTGTCCTAAAGCTACAACTGTATCTGAAGAATTATTTACTGATGTTTCTTAAGCGATTGCTGCTGTTCCATTGATCATACTTGTATATCTTTGTTAGAAATGTTATTTTGATTATGTTATTCTTCACAATACCCTTACTTGCAATTTGTAATAGGAGATGTACACACAGAAGATAGGTTCTTGTGCCAAAAAGAAATTTTATTGTGTTATAAACCGACAATCAAGACCATGTAAACTCAGAAATAATCTGTATTGTGTCTACCAACATTTGGATAGTATTGGTAGGAGTAAAACAAGGGAGTGATGTGTGTAAAATCATTCAGCTGTTTGAATGTCATTTTCTCTCAATGAAAGAATTGGTTAGAGGCATGCATTCCTTCAGCTGCTATCTTTCTTCCTCTAACATGGTAATTCTCAATTTGTGGGCCATGGACCCTAAGGGAACCATGAAGTGGTTAAAAAGGTGTGGTAAATTCATGCACATACCAAGCATTGTCTGTAAACAGAATAATGTCATGCACACACGTGCAGATAAATATACCTACTAAAATTCATTGAATATATGAAATGCTATTGTGGTTAATGAAACGCACATTCATTTAAAAAAAGCATTTTTTTCAGTTCCTATAGGTTTTTTGTTCATGAGTATCATTCCTCCATCTGTAAAAGCTAAAAATATAGCAACTTTCTTACAATGGTACTTGCAATGTTTTGACATTAAAAAGCAGACTATGCATTCACAGAGGTTGGGAACTTCTGCCTAGCCTGTTGTTATCAAAACTACTTGTAAAAATTTAAGCAACTAATTTTCACTTTTGACAACTATTTTATTTCTAGAAAATAGGTTTGGAAGATTTTTTTTAAAGTGTTGTCTATCCTTCCAATGACTTATTATACATTTTAGAATATATTTGTATAGGGTAGAAAATCTCCTTCAGTTGGAATTGAACAGTCTTTGTGAAAAACATGTTACACCATGTAGAATCTTGGGTACTGCAGTGCATAGGTGGCACTAGCTTATGGGAGCCTGAATTCCAGAAACTTGATTTTACTTTTTGTTTAGGATTAAAATGCAAAAAAAGAGGTAGGCTTGCAGTATCACACTTCACCACCAGGTAAAGCTTTTAGAAACATACTCAGTGTGAAAATGCCCTAAGTTTGCAGCTTCTTGATGGATAAAGACAGTTATAGAGACAAAGAAAGTTAGTGTTTTATGCATTCGTTCTATACTCTTGAAATAGTATAGGTTATTGGCAATAGTACATTTGTACCTGTTGTATCAGGTTATTGGCAACGAGGTATATTTGTATTTTTTTCTTGGCTGTTCTTCCTAAGGCAGTATGCCCTGTTACCATTGAGGAAGTTCTTCTCTCTTTCCCTGTAAACATTTTTATTGTACTTCCTTCCCTGAAGGAAGATTATGTGTGAACCCGGGATTCTGTTAGAACGTCTGATATTTGTTTCCAGTTAAAAATGAGAGGTAATTTTTGGGAGGGAGGCAGACAGGGAAAAAGTTTATAAGCGAGCCAGTGGAAAAAGCACATTCATTATCAGTGTCTTTCTCACTGAGTCGTTTGAAGTTGGAGAATTAGCAGCTTCTTTGAAGCTCATAAGATCTTTCATCTCTGTGTGTGTGAGTGTGTGTGTGTGTTAATATTAAGTGGAGATTCTTTCTCATGCTACTTATTTGGTTTTTCTGCTAATAATGAAATTATAATGAGATCCCTGATGGGATTAAAAAAAAAAAGAAAAAAACACCTTACATGAATTATCCCATTCCCTCACCCTCCTTCTGCCTTTCTGTAAAATCTATTCTGCATAATAGGTCTTTGTTTCTGGATTTGTGACAGAATTGAAGGAGGCCAGGAGTCGGAAATGCCCCCCATTGTTCTTTTTGGTGACTAGGATACAAAGTTCAGTTCAGCACAAAGTACTGTCCTCTGCTTCTACCTCCGGGACCCCCGTTACCCCCCAGCCCACACACCACCACCCCAATTTCGGGTGGGGAGAAGGCAAAGGTGAGTATTTGATGTCTTTGCAGGTTGAATGGGCAGTTTATTTGAAATGCATATACCTTGCTTTCCCCCTTTTATCTTTAAGGATTCATGACGTGGGCCGCAGTTGAGTGAATCAAACATCTCTCTTGATGGCAGAAATATGGTATTTTGAAACCTTGGGAAAACCTCTCTCAGGATAACATTTTCAGTGGTAGGTTTTCCTCCCTGTTACCTCTGGTTCCTATTGCATTGCCCTTTATCAGTACAGGCTTTTGAAAATGCCTTAAGTTAAAAAGGTCCCATGGTCCAGGAGTTGAGCGTTTCTTTGCCAGGCCTGGTCTCTACCAGTGGGTGGGAAAGTGGAGCCTTTGGAAGACAGAATCAGTGTAATAGACTGTTCAAGACAGACACATACTTATCTAATTTAAGCATTTCTAGCTGTAGGAAAGGCAATGCTGTGATCTATTCCAGTGAAGAGTTTACGCTTTGGAAACTCTCAGTTTCAGAAAATTCTTCCATAATCCATCCTAAATATTCTCTGCTTGGCTATTTCGTCTTAAGCCAGAGATAGGTAACTGCTGTTTTCCTGTCTTAAAGCTTTAGAAAACTGGAGTGTAGAGAATGGGCAAGATGAGAATGCCTCGTGTATGTCGGTGGCTTCATCAAAAGCTATTTCCTGAACCTCTCATGTTTAGATTTTCTCAGCAACATTAATGACTACTTTCAGGGCCTCACTCCTCACTCCCCATCATGTCTGGAGGTTCTCCCTCTCTTTCTTCCTTCTCACCATTTAACAGGTATAATAAAGCTGGGGAATCTTTACAGTCGGTGATTTTATATCATAGATCAAAGATCAAAGCAGAGGAATACACAGCAACCGTAAAATTAACTGCTTTTTCAATTTTACAATGCTTTCAGTGATAGAGAATCTTATAAATTTAATATTAATTAAACACTTAGCTTTTAACCTCCTCCTGCATCTACTTTTGGCTGGTGGCTGGAAAAAATTAATTGGGCATCTTAAATCTTGTATTACTAACGCCTTGACAGGAGGGGTTTCAGAAGCACTTATAACTTCAGCAAAATGCACTCGGAGCATGTGTCCTTCCACTCACCTAATTGAAAGTGCCCCCTTTTTTTCCTCAAGGAAAAATGAACCATTTGCAAATTTTTTTTAAAGGAAGCATAACTTACAGTCCCCTTTCATAGCCAAAGCTTTAACTCAGTCCCTTGGCACATTTAACACTTCACAAAATGGAAGCCATTGAACTTCCATTATTCTAAATGCCCTATTGATTTTTGAGTGTGTTGGTACAGATGTGTGGCTGGCAATTGCTTGGCCTACTCATTGTGTTACCTGAAGCCTATACATGTTCAGTCCAGCAAGGGGTGCCTCCTGTTTTGGTGAGCTCACTTTGGTGTGGTAGAGTCAGAGATGGTGGCATCTGAGGATGGACCTGCAGCTTCATGAACAGGAAAGTTAGAATATTCGTGAAAAGAAATATTTCTCTTGAAGGAAGTCTCAAGAGATAGGAAGCCAATGTGATGGAGGAGATGTTTTGGGGAAGCTAGACTAGGCTGTTCATATTTTCTTAGCTCTGCAAGGAATGGACGATGGCCTTTCACTGGGGGACAAGCATTTCACTCTTTAAAAGCCAGGCAGACCTTCATGGCTATGCTCCAGAAGTGACCCAGTAGAAATAATAATACCAATACGTTGCATCTCTTTTCTGTTTTTTTCTCCGGTGGGCTTGGAGAACTTTATCCATATAATCTCTCATTTTTCTCACACATCACTGTGTCAGAGAAGAGCAAGTTCAGGCCCCTGAGTTTACCCAAACTGGTTCTCTGCTGTGACCATGTATTTGAAACTAGCAACTGGAAATTACAGTGAATACAGCATGAACCCCAAGAATGCATCTTTCTGTACCGTGGTTCTAGATTCAGGTAACTGAGAAAAGTACATTGATTGCTTTTTGGGGACACCCGTTCCTAGCACAGGGCTCAGTGAAATCCCTTGGGTTCATTTGGAGAAAAACTACAAGAAACAAAATTTGTGAGAGAATTTAAAATGTCATTATTTACTTTACAAAAACGTTTTAAACATTTTACTCTGAAAGGCTTTACTACAGGTTTGTTTAAATTGCTAAGTTTTCTAGTTCTGTAGTCATCTAAGGAGACTGTAACTCAGCTTACAACTGATACTTCAGAAGCATATTTTTTGAGTAAGGCAAGGGATATAGAACATGCAACACGACAGTCTCCTGTCTCCTGCTCTGGGTTGCAGTGGTCTCTTTCTTCAAGTCCCAGCAGTCACCTTGACAATCCTTGTTGGCAGTAGGGAGCATTTAATCCAACTGTGAAATAATAAATTAGCTGCGGAGTCACCACCAGAACAGGGAATCCTGGCTTTATGCACCTGGCTAGTCTGCACTCCCTGTGAAACCATCACGGTTCCTTCTCATTGCAGCTGAGCTTTCTGAACCTTTTAAGAGCTGAATTGATGGGATGTGGAATTTGATAGCCGATAAATTAAGGATATTGGTAAATGTAATGACTCTCTTAGAAGATAGCATTGCCGAGATCAGTAGCAACATTTGCTTGCATTGTTTGTGAGTGTATCTGTGGAGGTCCTTTATATATGTATCTCTCTCTTTCTCTATCTATCTAGATATATATGATATGTGGGGTGCTATAAAATTTTTAGTGCCTTAGTTTGGGTTGACCGCCTTATTACTCACGAGTGAGCTATACAGGTCTTCCTTAACAAGTGGCAATAAAGGCTTTACAGCACCCCTTACACCATCACATATTTTTGTTTAGGCCACATATTGTCTTTTTCTTTTTAAGTCTCCCTTTGCTCATGTCCCTCTCAAGTACCTTTGTTGCCATGGCAACAGTTCCATCGTTTCTTAGGGTAGAGCAGAATGACATCTCACACAAGATTCTTTAAGTCAGTGCTTGTTTGGACTGACCTCAAACACTCAGCTGGGGCCAGTGCTGTGGCCCTTACCCTGGTCATCTGTGACACTGTTTTCTCTTTCTTGCGTGAGGCTCTGTTTATTAGAGTGCTGTGTCTGTCGCTACATTAATCATTTGCCATGTCTCTGTGGACCTGTTCCAAAGAATGGGAAGAAGCTGATACTCATGATCTAAAATTGAAAAAAAAAAAAATTATTGCTAAGCATTTTGAGTTAAATATGGAGCTTTGTGAGTGGCTGGGTGCATAGTAAACACTGTGGCAAGATGGAAGGGTAAGAACAGCTCTTCCTCTGCATGTCAATGTTCTCTTTGGAATTCCTTCACAAGCATGGTTTTGACAGGTTACCATGTGCATTTTTCCGTTCTCTCTGTGTGTCTTTAAGACCCAGCAGACCAGACCTTCCTTCTCCATGACTCATGGAATATTAATCCTGAAGGAGTCACAGAACTGAGTCTAGCGCACTGATTACATTCTTAGGGAAACTGAGACCCAAAGGGGCATGTGTCTTGCTAAGATCACTCATCTTTTATTGGTGCACATGGAATGAAAACCCACATCTCCCAGCCTTCAGTTGGGCCTTGCCTTTGCTGCAATTTATTAGTTTTTTAAAACAGAAATTATTTGAAATGTTTTACTGTCAAACTGATTTCCCATCAAGCCACTTCAACATTTCTGTAAAACGTGGCTATAGCCATAGTGGAGACCTCATTTGGCAAATGTGGACAGGTGGTGAGGTTCAACCTCCAAATTTCTTAATTCTTTTTCCAACAAGAAGGTTGGCTTGCCAATTCTTTGATAAAAAGGTAGGAGTTTCTGTAATCTGTTCTCTTAACCACATTTGGGATTCTTGTATATATGACTACATATATTTATATATTTTTTATGGGCAATATTTTGACTGTTTCTCTTTTGAAAGACAGTGTGAATGAGTATGCCAAAAATCACAGATGATATGAGAAATGCTATCAATAAAAGCATTTTTTTCAGAAAGGTGAATAAAATCACCCCAAAATCATGTAAGATTTTTCCTAATGTTATTCTGCAAAGTCATTCGAAAACCAAGTGCTTGTGACCCATGGGGTGTTGCTCAGGGCACTCTATGTGTCTGGTGTTGTTGCTTTTACTGGGGAAAAGAATTCAGATCTGAGAGTCTTTTGGCATGGGCCTAGACAGAGAGATTGCATGATTTGTTCTTGGATGACGTGACAAAGAACCCTGAATGTATTTTTCTTTTCTATGCTTCCAGAGTCTGAGTGGGGAGTTTTACATGGATGGGTAATATAGCATCGTAGGAGACAGATAATGCTCAGTGTTAGATCTTCACTTGGTCTTTCCAATTTGTAGGAGTGGTGTGGTGATCACATATTTGATTAGTGAATCTGCTGTTTTTATATTTAGGCTGCCTGTAGCAGTCCATGATTTGCTATCAGTATATCTATCAATCTGTAATGCTACACTCGATAATTATTCTTCCGTTACCCAAATACTTCGTAAAAGAGAAATCTAACATGTACTAGATTCCTACCAAGCAGATAAGATGAGATAATCTATATAAAGTGCACAGAATAACCCTGAAAGGGATTCTTAGTCCCACTTGACAGATGTAGAAAATGAGTCCTGGGCCGGGCGCGGTGGCTCAAGCCTGTAATCCCAGCACTTTGGGAGGCCGAGGCGGGTGGATCACGAGGTCAAGAGATCGAGACCATCCTGGTCAACATGGTGAAACCCCGTCTCTACTAAAAATACAAAAAATTAGCTGGGCATGGTGGCGTGTGCCTGTAATCCCAGCTACTCAGGAGGCTGAGGCAGGAGAATTGCCTGAACCCAGGAGGCGGAGGTTGTGGTGAGCCGAGATCGCGCCATTGCACTCCAGCCTGGGTAACAAGAGTGAAACTCCGTCTCAAAAAAAAAAAAAAAAAAAAGAAAATGAGTCCTGGAGAGAGTAAATAAAATAGAACCTTCTATGACTAAGTGACTAAATTCAGGCCTCTGATTTCAAAGCCCATACTCTTTCCTCAGAGTTGCATTGCCCTACCAGGTACTTGGCAATTATGGTCTTATACAATCTTTGGATCTTTGCTTTGATAATGTTTTTAATAATTCCCTTCACAGTTCATAGTAAAATAAGAATGACGAGCATTTAGCATCATCACACACAAGCCTGAGAGTCGGCAAGACTCACCTCACTGTAAAGCTAGCAGCTCTAGCAGCTTTCCAGGTAGCATGATGTCACTGGCAGAGTGGATCACGAACTAGCACATGCGCTGCATCAGGGACCTCTGGGGACCTCGCAGAAGTTGAGAGCGTGTGTTGGGAGAAGGAGCAGTATATCAACCTTATTGATACACAGAGTTGTTCTTTCTTTTTCTTGCAGGTTAATGCACATGACTATCTCACCGTTACTGTGTTTTTGTTTTGGTTTGGTTTTGTGGTTTAAGATACCTTTTAAAAGCCACCATCTGCTTTAGGTATTAGATGGAAGTTCTGGTTAAAACAAAACAAATAGTTTCATAAAACTAGTAAGAGGGTTTTTTTTCCCCCCTACAGCGTTCAAAGTGCTTTCTGAACAAACTTAAATTTCTCTGGATGTAAGCAACAGAGAAGGCAGAAAACATGGCTCTCAGATTCAAGTAATAAAAAGAGAAGCAAAAAACTCACTCTGCATTGACCCTTTTCCTGAGGTGTAAGGTGCAAAGCATAAATAATCCACATGGAAAGTGACAAGTCCATTTACTTAATTCATTATTTATTTTAGTTATTGGATAAGCTCATTTCTGCTTAGCCTCTGGGCATATTTACAAGTGTGGTAGAAAAAAGACAGTCCCTGCCATTACTGTTTACAATCTACAATAGATAATATATAAATAAGACATATTATTTTTGTAGACAGATGCATCCAGATACACTTTAAACAAACAAGAGTACAGCAATTAATATGCATATGAAATTGGTAAATCAGCTATTGTAGCACATGAAGGAAACTAATATGAAGTAAGGAATTGGAACAGATTTGGGCCATATTCGACAATTTTCGTATTAAGAAACATTATTTTAGAAGAGCAGTTGGCTGCAGCGGAGTCAGGAGCTGTTGTGACTTGCTTGTTCCACAAGCAGAGCCTGGGCAGCGCTCAATAACACCCCTCACCTTCATGGGCCATCAGCCGTAGAGAGGCAAATTAGAGCAGTGGCGTAAGCCACAAATCACAGGCTGTTGTTAGATTTAGTCTGACCCTTAGCATCATTTTATCTGAGTCCTCTTGAATTTAATGTGATTCCCTTCAGACCACCCCCTCTCTGGATAAATCCTAATATTGTTATTGTTATCACCATGATTACTTGGGGCTGACCTAATAACCCTTCTGCCCTGAAACCACAGGACCTGGCCGCAGCCTAGCCACTAATAGCCCTCACGGCACCTCATTGACATGGCTGCACTGGAGTTGAAGTTACAAAGCAGGGAAGTATCATTTAGGGCCCCGGCTACCCTCGCCCCCTTCGTCTTCATCATGCAGTTTCTTCTTATGGTTCTTCCCATTTTCCCAAGGAATTGAAGTCGCAGATATTCTGATTTCAGGGGAGGGCAAGGAGGAAGTCAGGCGCTGAGTTGAGAGAAGCAAGAGCTGGCACACCTGTCCTTAGGTTCACAGCGCAGCCTTAATTTATGTAACTGTTAATCTCACTATTACTGTGTTGTTTTTTATTTTGTTTTGGTTTTGTGGTTTGATACCTTTTAAAAGCCACCATGTGGTTTAGGTGTTAGATAAAAGTTCTGGTTAAAACAAAACAAATAGTTTCATCAACCTAGTGAGAGGGGCTCTTTTTTCCCAACAGCATTCAAAGTGCTTTCTGAGCAAACTTAAATTTCTCTGGATGTAAGCAACTGAGAAGGCAGAAAACGTGGCTCTCAGATTCAAGTAATAAATCTCAAAAAAGATGTATTGGATACGGGAGTAGGACGAAAAGCCAGCATCAATGACCTTGAGTATATAGTTTCATAATCCATGAATAATTTCAAGAATTATAGATGTACTCTTAGTGTAGAACATGCAGAATGCCCACCGTGGAGTCAACACTGTGCAAACTATATGTTTGGGGTTTTGTTCTCAATTGGTGGCTTTATATCAGCCTCTCCAGCACACTTATAACTAGGCCTTTATAATGATTAATACACTAGGAAGAATCAATGGTACAGACACATTGGACATATGGTATTTATGGTCTAGAGGATATTGTAACCATGAACTCACCAGTGCACTCCAGAGCTTTGATGGTGGTTGAGCAGTAAACATGTAGGTACAAAAGGGTATAAATAAGGTGACTCTGGAAGTCATCCAAAAAGTGGGAAATTGATTTTATGGTGTCTAGACCCTAGGGTTCATGTAGAGTTAAGACCCAGAAGAGACTTTAGGAACCCCCAATTTTGCTTTATAGATAAGAAAACGTAGAGTGGATATCAGTTTGCTTAAGGTCATACAGTTAGTGGCATAGCTGGGACTCAAAACCGGTTTGCCTGGTAAGTCCACTATAACATCCTCGGTGTAGAAAGTCCTCAAATGGATGGTGTTAGTGACTTCTTTTCTTCACAAAACCATATCTCCTGTCTCTCTCTCGCTCTCTCTTTTTTTTTTTTTTTTTTTTTTTGAGATGGAGTCTTACTTTTGTCACCCAGGCTGGTGTGCAGTGGCACTATCTCGCCTCACTGCAATCTCTGCCTCCTGGATTCAAGCGATTCTCCTGCCTCAGCCTCCCGAGTAGCTGGGATTACGGGCGCAAGCCACCACACCTGGCTAACTTTCATACTTTTAGTAGAGATGGGATTTTGCCATGTTGGCCAGGCTGACCTCGAACTCCTAACCTCAGGTGATCTGCCCACCTCCACCTCCCAAAGTGCTAAGATTATAGACGTGAGGCACAGCACCCGGCCTGTCTCTCTTTAGACTATTAATTGTTGCATCGTTTTCACTGCCAGGTCCGTTTTGTTCTTATTTGGGGTCTCAGGATGGACTGTTTCTTGGATCTGGTAGAATTTGAATGGTGTATGTCATCATGAATACTGAATTACCTGAACCTTTCCCCGCAGGTTTCACGTATTATACAAGGAGAAGTAGAATGTTGTGGTTAAGAGCATGGACTCTAGACTCTGACTGCCAGGGTTTGAATCCCAGCTCCTTCATTTATATGTTGTTGTTTTGGACACACTGTTAAACTTTCTTTGCTTCAGTTTCCTCATCTATGTAATAGAAAGGATAATAGTGGCATCTACTTCATAGGTATCTATCTTGGAGTTAAGACACAGAAAGCAATTAAAACAGTGCCTAGTGCATGTTAAGCCTCATAGTATATTTGTTGTTGTTGTTATTATTTATTTCCTTTACCCTCCATCAGTGGCCCTGAGCTACCTAAAAGGTTATGTAATTTAATCTTCCATTCAGTTGAGGAAGGAAACTGTCCCGGGTGGCCCTGTCCAGCTCTGCTGTGGCGCAGCCGTGGATGAGCAGTTTCTTCCTTGTGAGCCAGCTCCCCACCACCTGTAATGCTCAGTCTTTAGTGCCAGCTTTGTCTTCTGGACCTGCACAGAGTAAGGCTTGTCCTTCTTGTTTGGAGGTAGCTCCAGCATTGCTCACTGAGTGTTTCCTCTCCTGGAGCCTGTCATCGTGGGGTTTCTGGGAGATTTGGCCAGAGGCTTCTTGAGAGATGCTGTGGCCAGCTGAGCTTCAAAGATTGAGATTAGTGCCATTGACCTTCTGCAGTGCTGTCTGGCCCCTGCACTAGCTGACGCTTACCTGGGACTAAGGGGATGGTTATAATAAAACACTGATACGGGTAAGAGCTATGGAAAACAAAACATATCATTTCCCTGATCCTTATCTCCTAAAGCGTGTGTTATTTCATGAAAGCTTTGGAAAGAGAGGGCTTTATGAGCTTGGGGTACTGTTGAAACTGCCTGGACCCGACTGCTATGGCAGTGCTTAAAATCAATTTGTTCTTTTGTCCCTCCCACAATGCTCATCGGGTTTCATTTCTGCAATATGAATTGCCCAAATTAGTTGAGCTGTCTGGTGGAGGACTGTAAGCTCAAAAAGGAAGTGTTGGCTTCCCATTAATACACCAACACCATCTGATATACACAAACTTTCTTTTTACGCAGCATAATTGGGCAAGGTCAGGACTCCCTTGGACATGGTTTGGGGTCTTTGTTCTTGGGAGAAATGATAACTCTCAGCTATTTCCTAGCCCATCAGGACCTGGAAAGACCCCAGATTTTGAGGGTGGCACCTGCTGCTGTCAGAATCTTGGAGAGTGCCAGGTTCCACGAACCACGTGCACATGGTTCTATGTATACCTGCCCATGGATCCTGCAGCCTATTCTTAGCCTCATAGGTGACAAGGGGCCATGTCGGCTGCCTGTGGAGATGGCAACTGTGGGCAGCAGTTAACTCTAAGGCCGCGAATCTTCTGCGCCTTCTTTCCTTATTCTTTTAAGAGGCAAGCCGTGCAGCTCAGAGAAGGTTGAAGTGTGTGTGGGGGAAGGGGTTTATTGTGAGGGTGGGGGTGGGGAGGCAAGGAGGAACAACTGTAAAAAATGTTAATTTATTAATCACTGAATATATAGCAGTTCATCTGAAATGCTGTTGCTATGCCAACACCCTGGGAGTTTATTTTCTTAATCCAAGAGAGGAGCTCTCAGTCCCCTGCTCCCCTGCTGTGCCATTTGAATTTGCTGCTGCCACCGCTGCCACCATGGTATCTGTTTTAAAAAGTGGGGGGTGAGGGGGGAGGGAGGGGAACCAGGCTAAACCACCAAAGCAGTCAAATGCAAAGCAGTAAGAGGCCTTTCTCAGTGCGACTTAGTAAAAATGACACAAATTAATATACTCTACTTAAACCAGACCAAGATTAATGGTTCTCTTTCAGTGCAGCTTAGCCCAACTGTCACTCGACAGGCGTTTGTCGGACAAAATCAACACTAATCAACATTTATTCGTCTCTTGCCCTTGGGTCTGAGGCGCGCGCGGGCTGCGCCATTCTCCCGCTCGTCTCGCCACGCTTTTCACCCTCCATCCAGCCTTGCCATATATCACCCTTCCTCCTGTGCCTCTCCTCGGACGGATCCACACACTCAGCTATCAGGGTACATTAGAGGCATGATAGATTTTCTGTTTTAATTTACATCTATTATATTACAACATAACAGATTTTGATTCAGTAGAGACCGGTGTCTCCTATAGCCAGACTCCTTGGGAGGATTTCTGCATTAACTTATTAAGGTTCGTTAGGATGCAGCTTCAAATAGACTCCCTTCTCTCTGACTTGTTCTCTCTCTCTCTCTCTCTGTGGCAAGCTCAGTAAAGATGTCTTGGTGTACCTTATTCACAAGCAGAGCTCCTTTTCTCTAGACTTGGCTTCCTGCGCTGGATCACATGAGGCTGGCTGGGTTCCTCCTTTACTTTCTGATTGGACTTTGATCAGCCAACAATGGGCGTTGCGAGCCCCCCAGTCCCTGCCTGGCCTGGGTAAATGGGCCTTGACAAATCTGGTGGCCTAGAGTCAGGAGGCACCCCCTCCCAGGCTTTAGTTCTGCCCCCCAGCATCTCTCTCTCTCTCTCTCTCTTTTTTTTCTCCTTTTGATCTCAGTTACAGTTAGATTTTATTGTTATTGAAACTCAGGTCTACAGAGATGGAGGTGGGGACGGGGGAACTAAGTTTCTCGGGTTAACCAAGGAGAAGGATGTTGAAAGGATGACTGAAAGAGTAAGTCTGAACAAGGCTATTTTCATTTCTACATGACCGTCTTGACAGCGTTTGATTTCAGCTTGGAACAAGGTGCATGAGCCCGGCTTGTTTGTTGCATGTGGGAAGTGTATATTTTTAGTTGCCTTGTAGAGTGCCTTTCCACCTCATTTATGAGACTGGCTTTTTATTTTCATCATTTTCTCCTCTTCCCTTTCACCGGAGTTGTAATAGGAAGCATGGTTTTTACTTTCTGACGTAGCGTGTCTTTTTGATTTTTGGTGGGGTTGGGGTGTTTTAGGCCCACACTGAGGCCACACTGTACTTTGGATATCTGGTCGCCTTGTTGCTGGCTGCAGAGAGGACCTTGAGAAGGAGACCGAAATCTTCCCGACTTCTCATCACGGCTTTGACAAATGCCCAGGGAGACTGCAACTTTCTTCTCAAATTGACTGTAACACTAGAGCCCTTGGCCACTTAGAAGGCCTGAGTGTTTTTGTTTTTTTTCTTTTTTTTGAGACGGAGTTTCGCTCTTATTGCCCAGGTTGGAGTGCAATGCCACGATCTTGGCTCACTACAACCTCTGCCTCCCAGGTTCAAGCGATTCTCCTGCTTCAGCCTCCCGAGTAGCTGGGATTATAGACATGTACCACCACATCCAGCTAATTTTGTATTTTTAGTAGAGACGGGGTTTCTTCATGTTGGTCAGGCTGGTCTCGAACTCCTGACCTCAGGTCATCTGCTGGCCTCGGCCTCCCAAAGTGCTGGGATTACAGGCATGAGCCACTGCGCCTGGCCAGAAGGCCTGAATTTTTTATATTTTCCACCAAGCTGCTGATTCTAAACTGCGGTGAGGTTTCTTTTGTGGCCAGAATGGGGAGAAACCATGCGGATATGTGGTGTGTGTGTGTCTGCGTGTGGCCACCGAAGTGTAAGCTATGGTAGGAGGAGAGCTTAGGATTTCCATTTTGGTTTCTTATTACACAGCAGTAAAGTAAATGACGCTTAGTATGACTTTGCACTTATAGAAATGTAGCTCCATTTAAGAAACAAAACTCCACCAACAGGAGTGCTTAGTATCTTGAGCTTGGGAAACTGACCTCATTAATTTTAATGAGGGGAAAAATTCTCCAGCTGGGGCCGAGAAGAAAATGAAATAGCAATGAGGTTATCACTTTGGATGATCTCACTGAATTCAGACTCTAATCGGAACGATGCTTGGGGAATTTTGTAAAATCCTATGGAGAAGTTTAGAAGAAAATGCATATGCCCTTGATATTGTCAACAGACTGCTTTCCCTGATAGGCAGAGCCGAACTCTATATAGTGCCTCCTAAAGGAATCATTTGAAAAGTTAACATATTAAAAAGTTGGACCACTCATGCTTGTAATCCCGGCACGCTGGGAGGCCGAGGCAGGTGGATCACCTGAGGTCAGGAGTTCAAGACCAGCCTGACCAACATGGAGAAACCCATCTCTACTAAAAATACAAAATTAGCCAGGTGTGGTGGTGCATGCCTGTAATCCCAGCTACTTGGGAGGCTGAGGCAGGAGAATCACTTGAACCTGGATAGCAGAGTTTGCAGTGAGCCGAGATTGTGCCATTGCACTCCAGCCTGGGCAACAAGAGTGAAATTGTGTCTCAAAAAAAAAAAAAAAAAATTGGACCAAAGTAAAACCAAAAGAAAAAATAGATTAACATGATTCTTATGTGGGCCTAGCCTGAAAACAATGGGTCTGGTCATATGGTAGCTGAGGGTGTTGATTATAAGCTGGGGGGCTCCTGAGTTCAAGTGCCTATTGGGATGCTAACTTCCTGTAGGACTTTGGGCATCTGTTTTTTTTTTTTTTTAATCAACCGAAGGCAGAAGGCAGGGTGAGGGAGTCCTGTTATTCAATAGGCAGCTATTTGATTTGCACGGTAAGTTGATGACTTTGGCCCTGCTGCTGAGGAGTGACAGATTGTGACCAATGAGGTTAGGAGGACTGTGGGACAAGTTTGCTCTCAGTGAGGAGAGGCCTGCCAAGTTCCACTGACATTTGGTGGGGACCACAGAAAGAAACATCACCATTTAAGGTATGTAGCCTTTATTTTGTCCTAGTTCACTAGATGGCAGGTCCTGGGGAACAGATTATCTCACCAGCCGGTTCTTCAGAGGTGTGGCGGCAGACAGGACAGGCTTTCTTCTCCAAAGGCTTAAGCTCGCTGACTCAAGATCTGTACTCATCTCTCTGGCACATCAGTGCACTCAGTAGAAGATTTGTGCAACCATCAGGTGCAAACTCAAGCATCACCAAAGGGATTAAATAGGGCCATTGTGCTCTGGGGGCCATCTCAATATCAGTGGAATATTGAGGGGGGTCTGTTAATATTGATAAGTTCCTTTGAGATTCAGCCCTTTTCTTTGAAAGCTGTAAGGCAACAGTTAAGGGGACCCGTACTGCTGCTATGGCTGTGTGTATATGTGATGGGAAATGCTGGTTGCCAAGCAGCAGAGAATGGACATAATCGTGCTGCCTAGCAACAGCGGCAGCGTGGTCACTTGCGCAGATTTCTGCGCCTCTTCCTGTTTGGTCTGCTGGAAAATACAGATGGCTTCTACGGGTCGCTCTTCACCCTAGCCATAGTGAGTGGTAGGAAAACATTATAAACCAGGGTGGAAAAATACACAAATGCATGTTTTAAAGTGAGTCGTTTCCAAGCTCCCTCAGGCTGAGTAGAGATTCTTCCATAGCATTCCTCAGTTTCCCCTTTGAAGATACTGTGCACTGGCATGTTGACTCATAAGCCAGAAGAAGAATCTTTGGAAAGTGCTAGACCCCTCTGGGTGCTGCTCTACTGAGCTCAAGCCTTTACTCTGCATGTGTGAATATAAAGCTGCTGGTTTTCTGATAAGGATACACACATATAGTCACACATAGACTCACACCGTGGGTGAAAATGACAAGTGGAGCAGAGCGTGACTGCTGATTGTTCTCTGAGGCCCGAGGAACAAAGCACTCAGGAAAGATAAAGGCAGGCAGTCCCTGCTGGTTTGCCCTTTCTCCCAGCTCTGACCGCCACCCTCACACGTGACACTCTTCAATGAGGTCACCTGCTCACTACAGATTCTAAAAGGGGCTTGCTTGGCAGAGGCCTCTGGGGTCAGAGTGCTGGCCTTTACTGTTCTTGGGAGTTGTGTACATGGAACATTGGAAGTGTTTGGAACTGAATGCTTAAGGAAGATATTATTTGGCAGCAAGAAAAAGGGAGTGTGCGTACTCCTCCTTCCCGTCCTGGGATGAGTAGGTACTGCCTGCCCGTTTTTTCTCTACAGGAGTTGAATAGTAGCCAGAGTACAGGCTTGACATCAGAAGGCCTTAGTTCAGTCCTTATCTCTTTTACCACCAGCAATGTGGCTTTATGCAAGCTGCTTGTTCCATTCAAACCTTAGGGCTCTTGTCTGTAAGGGATAGCAATATCTGCTTTACAGAATGGGCTGGAAGGTCAAAAGAGGCACTAGTTCCATTTGGCCTGCAGCAAGGGTAAAGTAATTGTTGCTGTTCACCTCCTCTCCATGATTAAAGAGCAGGAAGTTGGGACAAGAAGGTGAGCATCGTAGTTACCCTGTTTATTCCAAACTTCAACGTCTTGGTTTTTGTCCTCGGTCTTAGCCTCCTAAATGAAGAGCCTTTATTTCCCTCTGTTTGGGTTGGAAAAGATGAGCGATCTCTCTGCTTTTGATGCTGGGTGCCTAGATGATTAATTATTTTAGTGGTTTCTTAATCCATACGGAATCAGTTAGGAGGGTCTGCTCCCATCTCCCGGATGATGAGACAGTTGTACAGAGCAGCGGAATGATTTGTTTGGAACCCTAGAGAAGACCATTAGTTCCAAAATGAGATCCAAATCCTATGGCCTGTGCTTATTTTGGCAGTACATATACTGCAGTTGTAATGATACAGAGAAGATTGGCATGGCCCTTGTTCAAGGATAACATGCAAATTGGTGAAGTGTTCCTTATTTATTTATTTATTGAGACAGAGTCTTGCTCTGTCACTCAGGCTGGAGTCCAGTGGCATGACCGTGGTTCTCTGTAGCCTTGACCTCCCAGGCTTAAGCAATCCTCCCACCTCAGCCTCACTATTAGCTGGGACTATAGGCATGCACCACCATGCCCAGCTAATTTTTTCTATTTTTTGTAGAGATGAGATCTTACTATGTTGCCTACGCTGGTCTCAAACTCCTGGGCTCAAGTGATCCTCCTACCTTAGCCTCTCAAAGTGTTGGGATTACAGGTATGAGGCACTGTACCCAGCTGTGTTCTATATTGAAAAAAAAAAAATCCTCTGGCCTGATGGTGTAGATGAAGCCCCTGGCAAAGCCAGAGGGGCTAGAGCAGGTAGAAGGCCCCCAAGGAGTCTGAGGGTTTAGGTGTTGACAATACTTGAATTTTAGAATTCAAAATTGTGATATCCGTGAATGTTCCCCAAACAGATCGCAGCCTGGCTCCTGAAGGCCTGGATGTGCTAGGTGGGTCAGTGGGGTTGAAAGAAGGCCCTTGCATCTTGTCTGCTCCGTTTACATTTGTATGTGTGCTATTATGCAGAGTGGCAAAAAGATCCAAACGGGGAACGCATTGGGTTCTAAACTGGCCTCTCATCGAAGTCCAGGTAAGAGCTCTCATTCCTCAGTTTCCCCAGCTAGAATGATGATAATATTGACCTATTTCTCAGGACAAGGTAGTTCAGGGGTTGGGAATTACGCATCTGGACTACGGTATAAATGCTCCACTCGGCAGGTTGCTCCTTGTGCAGCATGCATGCTGGGGAACGATGTGATGACACTAGCACAAAGGACAGTTCAGGTTATTTTCAGTGATTCCTCATGTCTTTTTTTGTTTGTGATGGAGTTTCGCTCTGTCGTCCAGGCTGGAGTACAATGACGCAATCTCAGCTCACAGCAACCTCCGCCTCCCAGGTTCAAGCAATTCTCGTGCCTCAGCCTCCTAAGCAGCTGGAATTACAGACGTCTGCTACTATGCCCAACTGATTTTTTTGCATTTTAGTAGAGACGGGGTTTCATCATATTGCCCAGGCTGGTCTAGAACTCCTGAGCTCAGGCAATCCACTTGTCTCAGCCTCCCAAAGTGCTAGGATTACAGGCATGAGCCACCATGCCTGGCTAGTTCCTTGCGTCTTAAAGGAAACACAGGCACCAGTATTCTGGGAAAACAGATGTTAATAGCTTGACTTCTGTCAGAGGAGAACTTGTTTGCTTATGACGCTTGGAGCTGCCAAAGTTAGAGCCTCTCCTGGACACTATGATCCTCGCCCATTTCTTATTCTCTATGCAGGGAGGGACCATCTTTCAAAAAGCTCCCATCAGAGCAACCATTCTGGGACTTTGGGCAGAATCTTTAAGGCAGTGTGGTTCTAAAATTCCACACCACCTGTTCTTCCAGTTGTGTCCTCTCTGAGCTGCCTCTGACAGTCACATTCCCTGGCCATGTGCCACAGCAGACTTGTGATACTGATTTTAGTGTTGTCCTTGGCCGTTGGGGGCAGGAAGGAAGGAGAGAGAAGAGAAGGGGAAAGAAGAAGAGAAATAAGAGTGGGGTCCATTCATCCGTCTGTCATTAAGGGCCCAGCAACTCCCACTGTGGTACCTAGGAAACGAGCTCAAACCTAGAGGCCATCCAGTGACCTCATCTGGTCCAGGAAAGTGGCCAGGTCATTTTCCTGCCTCAGACATGCTTGCTCAGCTGCCCTCCCCCTTGGCTAGGGCTGGAAATGATTCGTCTTCCCATGCCCTAGTTCCATGGGTTTCCTCTCTGTGACTCAGGGCAGAAGCCTTGGTTGCCACCAAAGGCAGCCTATGGTGTAGCTTCAGGTCTCGGCTGACTCAGTTGCCTTCCCTCAGCTATTCACTTAGGAGGCACTTAATGAAGAAGACACAAGGGTACAGTCCTGAGGGGTAACTTCAAGGCTAATGTGTCTTTTTTCTAGCACTTAACTCTTGTGAATTTCAAGAATTCCAAATTTTATTCTAAAGTCAGAGAACACTGCGAGAAAGGATTTTATTGTGTCCACTCCCTCCGAATGGCGTGGACATCTGGATTGGCTTCCTTTCCCTGACAGATATCACAGATTGGGTTGGGCTTTGCATGCTCAGGGTGACTTTTGGTATTGAGCTAACACCCTTCCTTTAAGGAAGTTAGAATACTTGATACATTTTAAGCTTTTGATCCTCAGCAGCACCCCTGTAACATTGAGGTCCAGTAAGGCAAAGTGTCTTGATTAATTAATTATATAACATGCTTACTGCTTTTTGGTGGTTCTTTCGTTGTGTTTTGTTTTTTCTTCCTCCTTCATTTTGTTAAAACGAATTATGTGAACGTCCAGGTTAGCAATGTTCTACTTTCGTAGGATAAGCCCCATCTCTAGTACTGTTTATTTCCATGCTGCCTGTTTTTCAGGGCACTTGCGTGCATTTCCACATCTCCATTGCCAGCTCTGAGAAGGTACATGTGCAGAATTTGTTGTGACCCCATTTCAGAACTGATGGAACCAAGCGCAGGCTTATTCTGTTTGGTAGAGACTGAGTCCCAGCAAGTGGAAGTGTCTTGCCAAGGGGATGCAACTGTTAATGGGAAAAGGAGCTAAAATAGAACCTAGATGTGACCCCAGAGATTTCACCGCTCTCAGTGACTTTATTTCTCAGTTTGGTCTCAGACCAGGACATTCAGAGGATCTTCATTTTCATATGGAGAAGCATCCAGGTATGTCTCAGTGGTTGATTAGGAGACCATATACTTTAGGAGTGATGTTGAAACTTGTCAGGGTAGTTCCTAAGGTCCTGAGGCCTAGGATAGCACTATAACCTGCCCCCATGATGTCTTTGGTAGACAGTAAGTGTTCAGTGTGCATTTATTTATTTGATTAGGTGTTTATTTTATCATGGTGAATGTAGTTCCGTTAATATCAGCAAGGACTTAGTGAACATGTGCTCTTTACCTCACAGAAAAATAGAAAATGAGATGTTAAAAGGAAATAGAATACAAACTCTCTGCCTTCAAGGAGCTCACAGTCTAGTTCTGGAGACTTGACATACACAGTCTCTGCTGTCTGCTTGGACTGGGGTCACTAGGATCTTTCTAAGGTAATGAGCCACCTCTTATTCTTTTACCCAGCCCAGTTGTTTCAGATGAAAGGATAGAGAAGCCGGCATCCGCTGTGATGGAGGTGATGTTTTATTTTAAGATAAAGTATGGAAGCAACTGATTGATGGATTATAAACTGGGAGGTCCAGGATAAAGCTTCATTCTGAGGGCATCAGTATATTTCACTGGGAGCCTCCTGGGCATTAATTCTGCCGTTAATTTTGTTATTAGAAACCTAGCCAAACAAAGGGAGGTGGCGAAGCTTGAGGCTGGTTTAACCTTGATGAAACAGTGATTTCACCAAGGGTGATGTTGCCCCATCCATCTTCATCCATCAAGGCACTGCTGAAATATGCTAATGAAGCCCGAAGATAGGAGCACAGAGCAGTTAAATGGGGCGTTGCAGACGCTCTCCGTACCCCCGTGACAGGGTGATGCCATTTACTGTCCAGATTTAGTATAGCAAGGAGAGCAATGCTGACGTGATGTCGTGGTGGAAGATGGAATGGAGGCTCCACCTAGTAAAAAGAAAGGGCAAGGTTTGGGGTATATATTCTAGAAGAGGATGGAAAAACTTAGTTTTTGGTGAAGGGGTCGGTTTTCTTAATTCTCTTTGGCTCACTTTCTAGCCAGTCCACGCAAGAACCAGATATGTGGCTTACTGCAGATAGGGCAGCATTTTTAAGTTCCAGAATGTGACTTCCCACCATGTGCAAAAGCAAGTTATCTGTTACCATGTCAGTCTGCAGCACTGTCTGTTTCCAGTGGGCACATGAGCTAATATCTTGGCTTTTTTCTTTTAATTTAAAACCTTTTGGACACTTATTACATGCTGGGTATACTACCGAGTTATTTTATATATCTTAATCTAATTAAATTCTTACAAATAGCCAATGAAGAAGCAAAATTATCACATATATTTTATAGATGAGTTTTGAGAGGTTAGATTCATGTCCAAAATTATGTAGCCAGTAAGTGGCATGGTTGGAGTTTAAATTCATGTCCACCTGACGTTAAAGCCCTTGCATAAAATCACTGTAGTCTGTTGGCTCTTGTGTAGGATACAGCTGGGAATCCCTGATAACCATTGAGAGCAGCCTGACTCACTTACAATATTTACTGCTTATGTATTCTTTGGGTTCAGTTTAACTTTGGGATTCCCTTCACAATTCTTTCTTTTGTAAATAGACTGTAAGCTCTCTGAGGCCAGCAGCCAAGCCCTTTCTCTTACCTCCTAAATGTTGGTGATGTCCCTCGTTTTCTACATGGAGTGCTTCCTTTTGGCATCATGCTTCTAATGGATGGTTAAAAGCTGACCGCCTGCTTTCTGGTTTTCTTTTCATACATTAGATGAAAGCCATGGGGATTTTACTTGTCTTTACAAGTTAATTCTTCAGAAATCACAGTGAAATTTCTGTTTCTTTCAATTTATTGGTGGATCCACTTTTGTTTCCTACTAGTTCATTGCCTTTCTCCTATCTAGTCTATATCAGACTGTACAGAAAAAACTAAACAGCAAATGAGATTTTATTATTATGTATTAAACAGTGTCTTTGGAGCAGTCTATATTAGGAGGTTTGTGCCAAACTTTGCTCATCTTAGGATCCCAGACAGTTCCTCTAAGAGACTCTGCCACCTTCTTTTACAAAATGCAGACCCTGAGCTGTGAAGTGGTCTTGGGCAAATCAGGCAAAACAATTCCTAAGTCTAAAATGTGTATCAGCTTTTGTTTTTTACCTAAATGGGGATAAAGTTGGAAATTAAAAACAGAAAAGAAGAATGGATTAAAAAATGTTTAAATAACATGCCAAGTAACATGGATTTCCTGAAATAAACTGTTTTAGGATAAAAGCTGTATCTTGGCCT